GGAGTGGAACGAGCGTCGACCTCTGGAGTAGAGAGAGCGCCGACCTCAGATGAGGCATCGACCTCTGGAGTAGAGAGAGCGTCGACCTCAGATGGGGTGTCAACCTCAGATGGGGCGTCGACCTCAGATGAGGCATCAACCTCAGATGAGGCGTCGACATCAGATGAGGCGTCGACATCAGATGAGACGTCGACTTCAGATGAGGCGTTGACCCTTGGACAGGAAGAGACGTCGACCCTTGGACAGGAAGAGACGTCGACTTCAGAACACGAGAAGGCGTCAACTTCAGAACGTGAGGTGGCGTCGATTTCAGAACACAAGGTGGTGTCGACTTCAGAACACGAGGAGGCATCGACTTCAGAACACGAGGAGGCGTTGACTTCAGAACACAAGAAGGCGTCGACTTCAGAACACGAGGAGGCGTTGACTTCAGAACACGAGGGGGTGTCGACTTCAGAACACGAGGAGGCGTCAACTTCAGAACTGGAAGAGGCATCGACCACAGGACAGGACAGGGCGTCGACCACAATCGACTTCTGGTCCGGGGGCATCGGCTTCTGGTCCGGGAGCGTCGACTTCTGGTCCTTCGACTTCTGGACCGTCGACCTCTGGACCGCCGGCCTCTGGACCGGAACCGGAACCGTCTGCTTCTGGTCCGGCGGCGTCGACTTCTGGTCCTTCGACTTCTGGACCGTCGACCTCTGCACCGCCGGCCTCTGGACCGGAACCGGAACCGTCTGCTTCTGTACCGGTCCCGTCTGCTTCTGGGCCGGTCCCTTCTGCTTCTGGGCCGGTTCCGTCTGCTTCTGGGCACGAACCGTCTGCTTCGGGGGCCCGAACAATCTGCTTCTGGGCTCGACCCGTCTGCTTCTAGGCCAGATCCGTTGACGTCTGGAGTGGAGGCGGAGCAGCTGCCGGAGGGGCTGCCTGGACAGGCTGTGTGTGAACCGGAGGTGCTGGGAACGGAGAGAGCAGGGAGGACAAACCATCCAGCTGAAGCTCCTGGAGGCTGAGGGCTCGATGGAGCTGGGCCAGCTCAGCCCGGAGACCGGTGAGCTCTGCTGGGTGTGATGAGGAGGACCGAGCGTCCAGGCGGGATTCCTGGGAGTTGATGAGCTGGCGGAACCGGCCAAGCTCTGCCGGGAGACTGACAAGCTCGGTCAGCTGGGCTGCGGCCAACGATCCTCCCCCTGTAGATGACGGAGGCGCTGATTCGGCAGGAGATGGGACTGCTGGCCTGGCCAGGGGTGTGTCCAAACTGCTGTGCCTGGCAGGGGTAGCGGTGAACTCACAGCTCCGTCCCGGGACACCGGATCGCGGTGGACTCCGGCGTCTTTCCCCATGCCGTGGACCGACTCCAGGGGAACAGACAGCCAGCCTCGTGCCCTCAAAGCCGGAGCGATCCAGAAGCATCTCCCGATCCAAACTTCCGTCTGGTTCCGGAAGGGCGGCGAGGATTGCCGAGGCTGACGGTCGGGGACGCAGGCGGCGGCGAGGCAGAGCTGGGGCTGGAGAAGGAGAAGCCGGCTGGTGGGTCGAGGTAAGCCACCGGAGCAGGTACTCCCATGAAAGAATCTCCCCGCTGGATCCTTTAATGGGTCGGTCCATTCTGTCACAGTGTGTGGGCGAGGTGAGCGGAGGTGAGGCAAGGATCCAAACGCGGGAGAAATACAGGCAGACAGGTGAGAACTTCTAACATTGATTTATTCAACACACGCTGGACAATGAAACAATGGACCGACACAAGACACAGAAAAGAAGGGGCTTAAATACACGAGGGCAGGGAGCTAAGGTGATTGGGAAACGAGAGGCAGGTGGGAGCAATTAACGAGACACAAGGCTGAACCAAAACGGGGAGACAGGACAGAGTGTGACAAAATGAGGATTTCAGTCCCTACATGAATCCAGCTGCACAGAGTTCTGGGATGTTTTTCTGATTCAGAACAAGGTTCCTCTTTATGTTTGTTTGGTTTCTTTTGATTTTTGGGATGTTTGATTGTGCCTCTGATTGTGTTGATTAATGCTCTTTGATCCATCAATATAAGCAAATAATACAGCCATGTTTACAACCATCATCCACTGTGATCCAATGGGATCAAAGGCTTTATGGCATATTCTTAGAGGTTGGTGCTTTTTCATAAGAGACTTATTTTGCACTAGGCAGCTGGTGGCTGGGGACCTTTATTCTAAGAAAACATAAAGTCATGCAGTTTCATGCAAGATCCTTGTAGAATATTACAACAGCCAAGATGGTAAAAATGAACACAGACTATTAAGTCAAGTTTGAGCTAAAACACATACTTTGCTGCCATAAGTAATTCTGGGTAGTAACGTTACAGGGTTGCACCGCTTATCTGGTGCAGCGCACAACGAAAGTGGCTAAGGTTCAGCCTTTCCAGTTTGAACCTGAGAAGCAAGTGGGTAGCGAGGAAGAAAATGAAGACCAGAGACACGAGGATGCGAGAGTTGGGCTCAGTCACTGGTGCACATGCAGCAAATGCATGCCCATGTCGACGGAGATAGACTGTTTGTTCCAAAGAGCTCAATTTATAGCAGCAGCTATCCACGGTATTACCGAAACACACAATAAAACATAATATAGCTTCCTTTATTATACGTTATCACAGAAGCACAAATATTAAAAACAAAATTCAAATTTTCTTTTATTATACAGTGAGATAAGGTTGCCAGCATTATTCCATTATTTTCAGATACTCCATGCATCACTGTGCACTACAACTTTGAAGCAGTATGCCTCAATTAAGATGTTCGTGGGGGCTTGTATGCCTCCGTTATTGCAGGGCTTCCAAAAAGAAACCAGGCGAAAGCAAGCCAAAGACTGTAGCTACTAGTGATGGGTACCGAATTCGGTACCTTTTAAGGTACCGACCGAATTCCATAGTACCGACTGAGCACCGATTCACGTCATTTGAAATGGTGCCTCGTTTCGGTACCCGTCCTTCATAACGAGAACTTGCCTAGACAGCTGCGCATGCGCAAGAGTGTTATGTCGTCGGTCGCTGCGAGCGAGTTGTAAACAGAGCAGCACGGTAGAAAGAACGCACGCTAACGCTTGGGTCCACTTCACTAAATGTGATGGGTAACTGGGTGATGATGAAACCAGCGACAATGATGTAAGTGAGACATCCTCATCTTAATCTGCTCCGGTAGATAAATAAAATGTTTAAGATAACGTTAGCTTGATATGTTCGCTTCCGTTTCGCTAATGGTGCGTTCGCTTTCTCCTCAGAAGTCCGAATTTCCGACTGGATGAACATAAACGCGCTCTAAAGTTTGGCTTCACTTTACTAAATGCGACGGGTGATTGGGTGAAGATGAAACCAGCGACAACGATCTAAGTGTGAGGCATCATCGTTTTAATCTGCTCCAGCAGTTAAATAAACTGTTTAAGATAACGTTAGCTTGATGAGTTAGCTTCCATTGCCACCATTGTTATCAGCTAATGGTGCGTTCGCTTTCTCCTCGGAAATTCTAACTTCCGGGTAGGAAAAATCAAATGAAAAAGGACGGCAAAAGGAATGAAGACACAAAGTAAATTTAGTTCACAGTAAAGATGTTTGCTTCAGTTTAATTATCAGCTTATAAAACTACAAGGACAATGTTAAAATACAAACAGTTGAATGTTATTAATCAAGATATTTATCAATGATGGTTATATATTGAGAAAAATATGTGTTTAATTATAAAAGAGAATTAAAATATTAAACACTCAAAAGTATCAAAATTGGTACCGTTAAGTACCGGTATCGATTCCTAGGTACCGGGAATTAGTACAGAATCGATTCAAATGTCAAAGGTACCCATCCCTAGTAGCTACATTGTGAAAACCACAAGTTCAGTGGACTGTGTATCTCTTCACCTTACCGTTTTATGAACATAAACAGCTTATATATAAAGTGAAGAGCATAGCAAAAAGTAATATGGTACCATCATTCAACATGCTTCCCAGACCTCATATTTCATGATTTTCAGCCCTATCGACCTCTCTTTGTTGGTTTCTGTTGAATATTTTCCACAAGAATCTTCTCGTGAAGAAAGCTGTGGACACTTAAATCGATTTCTTTGTTGGAATTCACAACCAAAAGCGGAACAATGTGTCATTGTAACCTTTCTCTGCAACAACAGCTAAGCTAAACGTGAACGCCAAAGCCAACGTCTACAACCAATTTATAATCATCCCACAATGTCTTCCGCACTCAAAAACATGGCTGCCCCTGTACCTCAAAAAGAGTTTAAAAACAGCTAGGATTGTGTGAATAAAAAGACATTTGATTTTTTAACTATGTTTTCATGTAGCAGAGACATTTTGTAACATCTTTAGAGCAACATGTCCTTTTAGGAGCTCCTTGCTGGAGTAGTTGGTCAGCATTTTAACTTACAGCAAGAAGGTTGCGGGAACCAAATGCATTTTTTTTATTTCAACATGTCCTTCCTTTTAAGTTATATTTCATTTGTCTGGTTTTTATACTATCACACTTTAATAGAGTGAACGAGGATTGTTTAGTAATCAATCTTCCTCTGTGGCATCACTAAAAACATTTAGGCATGAGCGCCTGATGGTTATCGTAATAATGTCAAAGTAGTTTTTCATCAGCTCAGGCTTAACCACAGTATAAAACCATAAACTAAACTTTGGTTCAGTTTGATGTGATTGTACATTATGCCTTTTGATCTGGCTAAATATCACTTAAAAGGTAAATGAAATCCTAAAATCCTGGAAGGTGTAAATGTGTGAGTCGAAGCCAGAGATTGTTATTTTTCAGATGTTAATGAGATGTAAACACAGACCTGAAAAATGTTCGGTCAGGATCAAATGTGAGAGAGCATATACATCTACTCAGACGCACATTCCTGAGGAGAAGAGATTACTTCCACAGCTACTCTACCTGGAAAAACAGCTGTGATTGCAGTCATTTATAACAGGTAATAAATCACAAAGGCCAAACGACAAGCATGTTTCTCACTGATTGAGTACTCACAGAGCAAGAGGGGTCTGCTCGCTCTTTCCTTCACAGCCAAGACGCAATCACTTGCTCGGCCAGCTGAGAGAGGGACAGAGAAAAGGGAAAACAATGAGGGATGCAAAACGGAGATATTCAAAATGCTGGAACTGGTTTTAAAGGCACACTTGTCAGGGTTTTTAGCACCCCTATGTTCAGTGTTGGGGAACATTTGTATAAAAAACAAACTAAATCAAAGCTCAGTTCATACTTGTTAAAACAAACTAGTTTTTTTCTTAGTTCATTGTAAAAAAATTGAACTAAGTTCACTGTTCCAAAAACAAACTAGTTCATAGTTATTTTCTCTCCTTTATATATATATATATATATATATATATATATATATATATATATATATATATATATATATATATATAGGATTTTTTCACTGTAAAACGGCGCTGCGTGTTTTCACCACTTCACCCCGGGATGATGACAGCAGCACAGAGAGCGACACTGACAGTTAAACTACATTTTCAATTCAGCAGACATCTGCGGCTTTTAGCCCGATGCGGCTTATATTGAGGCGTGCTCAAAAGTCCGGAAATTACGGTATATATATATATATATATATATATATATATATATATATATATATATATATATATATATATGTATGTATGTATCCATATATGTATGTTATTTTTGTTAAGGAGTGTGCACGTACAGCATGCGCGCCTCGTGCACGAGCCTACTATTGAAGCTGCCGTTACGCTTTTGGCCTGAGGGGGCAATCGTGAGCATAAAAATTCAAAACTCCGTAAAGTCCCTTTAAAAAACAAATTAAAGAAGAGAACGAGGCAAACTAAAACCTTGAGAAAAAGTACCAAATAATTCCAGTGACCGACAGAAAAAGAAAACTTCAACCAGTGGCTGAGCTCAGATAACAACGGTGCTCTGCTGTTGACTGTCTGCTGGGAGCGTGTGAAGGGACTGAGACACAGAATGAAGTGCAGTGGCTGGCCACACCCTCCCTATACATCTACCAATCAGCAGCTACTTTGAATGAGAGAGAGAGAGAGAGAGAGAGAGAGAGAGAGAGAGAGAGAGAGAGAGAGAGAGAGAGAGAGAGAGAGAGAGAGAGAGAGAGAGAGAGAAAGAGAGAGAGAGAGAGAGAGAGAGAGAGAGAGAGAGAAAGAGAGAGAAAGAGAGAGAAGAGAGAGAGAGAGAGAGAGAGAGAGAGAGAGAGAGAGAGAGAGAGAGAGAGAGAGAGAGAGAGAGCACTCTGACCCTTTTTCATCAGATCTTTTCAAATTTGGGATTTCTACATGTCATCGCATTTGGGGAGGCAGTTACTATTTTTAGGGGGGCATTGCCCCTCCTTGCCTATGCCTACATCTGGGCCCGGTGTTCAAGATGGTTCCTTCCAATTATTTAAGTTTGACGCTGCTCGGCACTCCCAGGAACAACGGTTCCAGGGTGTTGGAAAGCTGGATAAGAGGCTCTCGCCGTTTTCCAGACCACAGCTTTAGGACTACCCTTTGCAATCTCACCAGTTTTAATTCTATGAAAGTGGTAGATGTGTTTGCATTTTTTCTCTATCTCGTTGTGGCATCTGAATTTATGCAAACCTTCTTGTCTCCTTGTGCTCAGGTATGAGCAGGTCCGCAAAGATGGAGAGTCACATTACTCCAGCTGTACAGATTACAAATGATAGGGAAACCCCTTCTCACCTTCATTAAAGAGGCAGAAATGAATAATTCATGGTTTCAAATTTCAGCCCCCCAAGTGCTTGACTGTGTTGCATCGGCATTTCCCCTCCACTAGACTGATTCCACTGCAAGTCAAGCATTTTGCTGCTCTGAGATCTGTAGCCAATTTAGTCCAAAGACGATGAATGTCTAATTTGTCTATTAACACAGATGGAGACAAAGAGAGACTCGTTTGTCTCAGAAACCATTACAGTAGTCTTTAAAAGAATAAGACTATTTAATAAGTACAACAGACAAAGTGTGTCCTTTTGATTTAATATGAACTCTGTTATTTGTACAAGCTGTCAGCCAGAATGAGGATATCTTTTACTCAGAGTGAAAAATGCCTACAGTAATAAAAACGCCCACATCAGTTAACCTCTAAATGCCGCATAAAAGAAAAAGCCTTATCTTCAGATTTTGCTCTAAGGGCGTTAAATACGTGACATGTTGTACTAACTCTGATGGATGTGATATCTGCCTACAGATTAAAGAGATCAGTCAGATCTTCTAAGGTGGGATTCTGTTAAAACATGAACTGTTAATATAGTTTGATAAGGGCTCAGTTCACTCATGAAAAACATTTCCAGTTTCACTAAAAGTGTCAATGTGGTTTATGAAAGATCGTTGACACAAGCATTTCTAGCCATTAGCATAATTAACAAAATATTGCTTTAGACTGAGGTTATCTACAAAAAGAAGTGTATACACAAACCCACTTGGTGTTGGGGTTTTATGAGCTTTCTATTTTTTATTGTTTTTTAATAATTTACTAAACAAATGGGCTGCCACCTTACAGTGGTGGAGGGGTTTGAGTGTCCGGATGATTCCAGGAGCTCAGTTGTCTGAGGCTTTATGTGTCTGGTGGGGTCACCCATGGCAAACAGGTCCTGGGTGATGGATCAGACAAAGTGCGGCCCAAAGACCCCTTATGATTAACAATACAAATGGAAACAGTGTTCTCCCGCCCAGATGCGGGGTCAGAGGAGTCCGCCTCTGGAGCCAGGCCTGGATTCGGGGCACATTGGCAAGCGTCTGGTGGCCAGGCTTTTACCTATGGAGCCCGGCCAGGCACAGCCCGAAAAGGAGACATGGGTCCCCCTTTCCATGAGCTCACCACTCATAGGAGGGGCCAAAGGGGTTGCGTGTATTGTGTGCCGGGTGGTATAAAGTAGATGCTTATCTAATTATTGATTCCCTGTATTATTATTATTTCATTGTGTTCATTTCTTAATACTAATTTTGCTTACCATTTGTTTTTTTCTTGCAGCAGTATCGCAGCAATTTCCTAATGTTGTGATTCTCGCATACGTGGCGATAAAACCCTTATGATTCTGATTCTGAAGGCAGGGACCTTGGCGGTCTGATCCCTGGCTCCAAAACTAGCTCTCGGCACGTGAAATGCCACCTCTCTGATGAGGAAGGAGCTGAAGTTGGTGGGTGAGGTTGAGAGGTTCGATATAGTAGGTCTCACCTCAACGCATCTCTCTGAGAGGGGTTGGACACTACCACTCTGGAGTTACTCCCACTGAGATGCGCCGGGCAGGGGTGGGCATACTTGTTGCCCCCTATCTTGGGCGTGTATGTTGGGGTTTACTCCAGTGAACGAGAGTAGCCTCCCTCTGCCTTTGTGTGGAGGGATGGGTCCTGAATGTGGTTTGTGGTTATGCACCAAACTGCAGCTCAGGCTAACCACCCTTTTTGGAGTCCTTGAAGGGGGTGCTGGAAGTGACTCCCTCATTCTGGGACTTTGGGTTGGACCCATCAATCTCTGGGGAGGAGGTCACTGAGGTGGTAAAAAAAACTCCTCGGTGGCAGACCCTGGGGTTGGATGAGATCCGCCCGGAGTTCCTTAAGTCTTTGGATGTTGTTGGGCTGTGTTGGTTGACGCGGCTCTGCAATGTTGCGTGGACATCGGGGGCAGTTCCACTGGATTGGCAGACTGGGGTGGTTGTCCCCCTATTTACAAAGGGGGGCCACAGAGTGTGTTCCAACTACAGGGGGATCACACTTCACACTACTCAGGGGTTCTGGAGTGGAAGGTCCGTCGGATTGTCAAACCTTGGATTCAGGAGGAAAAATGTGGTTTTCATCCTGGCAGTGGAACACTGGACCATCTCTATAACCTTATGGAGCTATTGGAAGGTGCGTGGTAGTTCGTCCAACCAATCTACATGTTTTGTGCATTTGGAGAAGGTGTTTGACCGCGTCCCCCTGGAAGCCCTGTGGGGGGCCACATACATCCGGCGGTTGCTCTGACAAAGGCAGTAGTGAAATGTGGAAACATGTCAGCAAAGGTAACAACAAACCCTTATGACTTTGTAAATAATGAAGAACAATAAATAAATAAATAAATAAAATAAATAAATACATTGGATAACAAACACAGTAGGAACGTAACTAAGATGGGGTACCAGGTCCTTTTAATGGGTTGTTAGGTCCCTGTATGACAGAGCTTATATCAAAGCACTTAGTTCAAATTTGACTGCATATTTCCTCTTTAGCTAAAAAATGAAGTGATTGTGTAGTAATGGTCTTGATGTTGTTGTTAGATGAAATTGACCCAAATAGTATAATTTTCAAGTTATTTTCCTTTAAAACGTGTAATGTGTGATTAGTTGAAAGTTCCTATCCCTAACCTTACACACACATTTCAGACCGGTGCAGTTTCACTGGCTCAGAGGCAGAAAATACACACAAACAAAAGCTTTTGTTTTCTTTTTTTGGAAGCTGTGTATTATTTACACCTTTAGAGCAACAGCTCAAAGGAAGAGGGCGGTCAGTTTACAGAGAAAAATCCTTATTACACATTCGAAAAACTCTGAGGTTAATATGAGAGAAACTGAAATATTGAAAATATAGGATAAAATATCAGCTACATTCAGAGGAACAGGTTAAAGATTAATGCCCACCACACACAAGCATCAACGCTTTGTTGCTGAACATAAAGGAGCTTCTGCAGCTGAAAAACCAGATTTATCTAAGGATCTGATATAAACTGAGCTGAGATGTGCTTGTTCCACAAAACAAAAATGAGAACTTCCCCTTGCACAGCACTACGGCCACAACAGGGAGCATCACCAATGCTAGAGTTTGATCTGTAGCTCTCTAAATGTCATGAGATCAATTCACTTTGGATTTTCCTAAACACCTTTATCAGTACAAGAGTCATGTGCAAAAAATCCCATATGTTATAAATGATCCTTTCGTGCTGTAGATAACTTCCCGAACAGCCTCTGTCCAGAGGAAAGTGATTAATATTTAACAGTGACGAGCTAACAGCTAGTCTGAGAGCAGCCTATATAACATAGCTCTTTAAAGTGGTTCATGTTGCATTATTCTCTATGCACC